TGCTCTCTTCTTTAGTATATCTTTTTTTTTTTACTTTAAGCAGTTAAACTAATACTTTATTAGGATTCTTAAAACTATATACATATATAATTATATAAAATTTTTTAATATATAAATTTAGTATTATTTAGCCATCCTAATAGTATCTAAGTGCAATCTGCTGCACTATCATAGTTAGAGATAGCTGCTTATCTAACTACTTAAAGCAATACCAGAAGGGTCTTTTTCTTTTGTAACAAGCATATTAATTGTCTTCAATGCTTCATTCTTTATTCATTTTATTTTTTTTGTGTTCTTTTCTTTTTTATCTTCTTTCAATATTTTACTTTCTATCTTCTTTTCTTTTAGTTTTTTTTTCCTTTATTACTCTTTTTTATTTTATTTGTTATATTGAAGCTCTTTTCTTATTTTTGTCTTTTTTATATTAAACTCTTCATACTTGGTCATAAAAGGTGTTTTATGCTGTTCTAGTTACTATATCTATACATTTCTGCATTGCATTTTTGTTTAACAGCTGTTTAAGTCCTTTTTTAACCTTTAGTGTTGTGAGTCCTTTTATTAGTACTTTTTTGTTCTCAATTTCTTTTTTCTTTGTTTTTTTAAAAAGTGTCTTATATAGTACTTGTAATAGGATTCTATCTTTTTTTTTTTTCTTTAAGACCATTTTGTGCTATTGCTGCTGAAACTTTTTGAATCTGTTTCCATAAACTTCTTTGTTTGTTGCAGCTTGCCATATATGCTTGAGTTTCTATTTTACTACTTGACAAACTTGGCAGTTTGCTATTATGTATACTTCTGATTTTTTTCTGTTTTGTTCTTCTAATATTGATAGACTATCTATTATATACTTGTTGCTACTCTATGAAAAAAATATGCTAAAATTATTTTGAATTAATACTAAAAATTTTTTGTATTAAATTCTGTATAAAATTATACAAAATTTGACATGAATTCTATATCACTTTATATAAAATATTTTATATAAAAACCTTTTTATTTATGATTTAAAAGATATATATTATGTTAAGTTTGATATATAATAAATATAAGTTCTGTACTTAATAAATATAAGTTCTGTACTTAATAAATATAAATTCTATATATAATAAATATAAATTCTGTACTTAATAAATATAAGTTCTGTAATTAATAAATATAAGTTTTGTAATTAATAAATATATGTTCCATATTTAATAAATATAAGTTCTGTATTTAATAAATATAAATTCCATATTTAATAAATATAAGTTCTAGGAGGATGGCAATCCTAGTATAGTGGTTGGGTTGTCATCCTCCAAGTGGCAGGTCTAAGGTTTAAATCTCACCTACAAGGAAATTTGGAAATTATATCTGCATTACAGTAACTGCCTCCTGTCAATCAATTGGCCTCATGTGGCTGTTATCCAGGTACACCAAGTTAGGTTCCCCCAACATTGAGAGCTCAGGCATCTATGTGAAGTGTAACATTACATGTACATAGAGGAATGTTTACTGGTGTTGCATAAGACTTCAGTGCAAATTCATGATAAGACCACCAGGTGTAGAAGACTAAGGAACTGAGATGACAGAAACCCACTTGGAAATTCCTAAGTAAAGAGGTAGCATAAACTTTGTACAGTACCATTGGACCAGTTAAAGCCTATGAAACACCTTCATAGGAACTGAAGATTAAAACCAGACAGCAAATATGTGTAGAGAAGCATATAACCAACCAGGCTGCTGGATCGCCAGAGGAAAAGGATACAGAAGTATACCATATCAGGCTATCTGGATTGGTAGTCTGAACTGAGACCAACAGTTCTGAGTTGCGGCTAGTAGGGGATAATGAAGAAAATGCCTAAAAGATGGGTACTGAGGTTCTAGTGAACTTTACAAGGGTAGAAATAGTGTAACATAGCAGTTAAACAGGTAACCCCTATGACTGCAAGTGTTAGATAACTATAGTATGTTGCATAAAACTAGGTCTAGATGTGTGGGACATAAAGGCTCTAGTAAGTTTCCTATCAAGGATAAATTAATTCTAAGGAGACCGATAAGCATCAGGAACTTGGATGGGTGATGCCTTGAGTTGTTCCTGTGATACAAAGAGGATTGCATATGCAGAGAGTTTAAATAGGCAAGACCCCTAGTTGGCTTGCAAGTATGGCAACTAGTGTAAAACTTATATAGTAATGTGTAAGCGAACTACTTAAATTAGGCACCAAAAGTGCATGTGTGGCTAGTTGTAAACTCCAATGTAAGGTGAGCCCTTGGTGGCATGCCGTGTCCTAATATACTTGAATAAAAACATTGCTACTCTCAAGATAGGGATTTTAACTTAAAAAAAAAAATAATAATAATATATTATATATTACAAAGTACTTAAGTAGATCTATTTAACTATTAATTAAATTTATTAAACAGAACACATATATATACAAAAAAATCTTACAGTTTCTAGAAGAATAACAATAATTAAATATAGTATAGGTGTTTAAGAGATCAATTTAATATATTAATAAAATCTAATAACAAATAAACTAAATATATACATATGAATATAGATATATATAACATATTAATATTATATATTTTATTCAAATTAATTATTAAAGAAGATAGTAAGTAACTAATCTGATTTATTCAAATTAATTAATATGTCTTTTGCCAAGTCTGTCACTTTATGTCAACTTTTAGATTATATATATAGTTTAATTAATAATCTTTTATCAATATTAGATCTTGTATATGATTTTGCTATTAAAAGAAATTTAAATATAGGTAGGTTAACTTTATATATTATAAAAAGATTAATAGTAGATATTACAGATAAGGTAATAATCAGTGTTACAAATAAGCTAACTGTAGGTATTATAAGTAGGTTAATTGTAGGTGTTATAGATGAATTAGATATATGTGTAATAGTTAAGCTAGTCATAGACATTTTTTTATTTTTGATATATTTAACATTAAATTTCATAGCCATTGTTTTTGGAAAAACTAAAAGTTTTACTAGACTCATCTGAAGATTTATCTTCTCAGAGAATTTTAGAAAAGTTACTCATATCTATTAATGTTTTTTGATAATTAAAAAAAATTATATTTTTAACATATAGGTAATTTTCATTATTATATAAGATAAATTTACTATTAATATAAAGAATTATATTTTTTTTTATAACTAGAATTATGCAAATTAAATGAGACACAGTTATCAAATAATGATATTTTATTTCAATTTCATTTTAATCTTAATCTATATAATTAGTCATTACAACTATCATAAATACATCTTCACCATCAATATTTAAAGATTTTTGTAATATCACAGTTATGCTAACCAAAGCAGAAAATTTTGGAAGATCATTAGGCTTTAAACTAAGATGTACAAGATTACTCAAAATAATCTGTAGATGTATTCATAAATTTGTAATAAATATAAAAAACATAATTATTAAAAACAAATAATATCATGCAAAAATATATATATATCACAAAATATATAAGATTTAAACTTACTTTCAAAGTAAAAAACCTCTTATTTTTTCATTTAAATATTCAATTACATAAAATTTTCTAATAGCAAGAATTACATCTTCTTTTTCAAATAGAGAAAAGCTAAAATTCTGAATCATATTTTGAGGATAAAATTCTTTTAAAAAGATTTTTAAAGATGAATTTAAACTACAAGATTTCATAAAATCTGAAATTTCAACTATATAAATATTTTTGTTAGAGGTTAATCGATAATCAGTTACATAACAAAGTATAGTAATAGTACCAGGCATATTCTTTAATACACTTAATCAAGTAAAAAAAAAAAATCTGAAGTTATTATTAATCTTTAAAAAAAGAAAATTTACAGAAACGAATGTGTATTCACATACTTTATTATATTCTCCCATAGCATATAGACATAAGGCTTTCAATAGGGCTTAGTCAAAATAATAAGGTATAAATGGTGATAACAAAATTATTAATAGAAAAAAAAAAAGATTTCAATTGATAATTATTGAATCGAGTGTATTTTAGACGAAGCTTGATTATATTATGAGCGAAAAATATTAACCTTATGATCCCCAAGTAATTTTTTTTATTTGATTTAATTTTGTACTATACAATTAAATATCATTAAACTCTGTATATTTATTATTATAACTCTGTCGCGCAAGTCAGGAGCTTTTTTAACTCGAAAAAAACATACAATAGGATTAATGTTCTTGTATAAGTTAAACCACAATAAATATACTCAGATTTATTAACCAATTAGATTACACAAATTCCACTTAACGTTTTCATGCATTTGATAAGCCTAATGCTAACCACGCCGTGCAACATCAGCGATTCACTGTTGTTGACAAAAATTCCATTAACAGACACGAGACATAGCATGTTATTTATTTATTTACAACAACAATACAAGTCTTTATCACGATTTTTCGAAGCCAAGAATGATCAAATTTTTTCGCTACGATCTTTAAATGATGACCTTTGACGATCACCGATTATCATTTCATCTACCCGGCAAAAATAAAAAATAAATAAAGAGAAAAAGAAGTAAAAATCGACAAATACACAACCACAATCAAAACAACAATTTTCAAAACTAACAAATACGGTTCAAAAATTGTACCCAATACTTAGCCATCAATACTCTGCATTTTTTTAGAATCTAGAATCTAGAATCTAGAATTTAGTATCTAGTATCTGAATCTAGTTTCTCGTATATAGTATCTAGTACCAAAGTATAATATAAAAACGACAGGAGTAGATCCTTCCTTTTATATAATTACGGGGAAGTTGTTTTGACGATCATACGATCGAAATCAATGAAATCAAATAGATACAATACAAGAACAACCAAAAATATCAATGTACTACAAACCATAAAAGGCAAAAACAAACCAGCGAAATTAAGTAGTGGTTAAATAATTAAGCTTAAACAACAAATTGGGAGAAATTTATGGCTACAACCGTATGTCAGCTGTAAATCAACTAATATAACACAGATTACATGGCAAATGCCTACTCCATTTTTGAGTTGGCAATCCAAAATAGTTATTAATAAAATCTACGTGTGGCAGTCAAGCTTACAGCCTCCTGATGGAAAAGGCCAAATGATGGACCTTGAATCGAGAAGCATTAGTTATAGCCAGAATAAGCAAGCCACAGTTATACAACAAATTAATATGACAGCAAATGAGAATTTGCTCGAGTCTCCAATATATAATGTATCATATTTTGATCCAAGATCCATTAGTATTTATAATATTAATTATACAGATGAATTATCTTGCATGGGATTTGGCGGTAGGAATAACATTTCGGGAAAAGGGTTAACTTAAATTGCTAGTCAATTTTCGGAATGCCAAGACTCACTGAAAATGGGTATGAACAAACCATATACAGTTGTGCTAGTGCAATTAAAGCCAGTGTAAATGTTATAGAGACGCAATCTAATTCAACTGGAACGATTAATATAGTAAACAAGAATATAAGTCCAACACGATGGAATATTGAAAATGACGGTGATTCTTATATTGTCGATATGGAATTATGGTGGGGAGGCGTTGAATTTGGAGAAAATATCCCTAATAACAGTGTATTAGTTAGTTATATAGTCTTTGGTTACTAGCTGGAGCTTCTTCCTTTGGTTTAACTTCTGATGCACAAGCTGCTGGTGCAGCTACTATATCACTGACTTTGATGATTGACTCCTTTACAGGCGGTGAATTTAATGGCTATCAAGGAAATGGAATCGGAAATTTGGCATTGCTTCAACAGTGGAGAAAGGAAGGCACTACAGAAGAGGGTATTAGTCGTATGTTTAAACGACAATTGACTGACATTATGACCAATATGGTAACTCCCACCAGTCAGGCTAAGATAATCAGTCTTATTCAACTTATGGTAGACAAGACTTGCCACGATTTATATTATGCAACACAATTTTATATAGCTATTATAGGAATAATAATGTTATGTGTTTTACTGATAAATATTATAATTGATAAAAATGACAAAAAAGCAAAAATTGTGGTTCCATTAACAATCAAACAGATAGCTCTGTATATGGATCTTGGTAGAGTAATAATATCCATGTATATGAGCGTAAATAATAAAGATATCAAGGCAAGAAGCATGAAGTCATCAGATTGGGAAATGAATAGGAAATCATCAGAAGATTATATTTTTAAAATTGTTTAAGTTACTTTTTGCCTAATTTGTGTGTTATTACTCCAGCTGTTCAGACGAAGCTTCATATTAACAAGGCTATGTTGAAAGATAATAATTATTGAATGATTGTCCTATTATATCGTAAAAGAAAACAAGGATAGGAAGAATAAAATTATTTCATTGAAGAATTAGTCTCTACAATTATTTTTACGCATAATAACTTGTAATATGATCTAAGCGTAGGCACTTGCACAATATGTTTATTTTAATCTTCAAAGTTTATACTATAGGCGACAAACAAATTAATATACTGTATATGCGCGAAATGACGCGCAGGGTGTTTGCCTAAAAATTTATTTTAATGTCAAGCTTTCAGAATACACAGCATCTTGTATATTTAGAATTTATGAAAAAGACTGTTCGACGGGTTAACAAGACCGGTGTAAAATCGCCACTATACATGCCGTAGAAACTAGTTGGGCTATGTCGAAAATATTTAGGCTCCAATTTTTTGGGTAGAAATAAAGCCACGATCTGAAGCAAAAGCCGAACTCTAAAATACAAGCCATAAAAGCTACAATATTATTATTATACATTCATGGAAACTATTTCGGCATGGCATAAGTGTTTCGGCATATAAATTTCTGAGACAACCCAGCAATTTCATATCAAAGATAAATGGCGAAATATTTATAACTAAGCCAAAATAGTTTTTATGTTATGTCCATTTGTGGCATTAATTTTGTCTTTAGGTATTGACCATTAGTTGCGGCACAAAAGGCAATGCCGCATACCAAAATTCAGGTTGAAATTATTTTCTATGTTATGTATAATCGCCACCAAAAAAAAAAAGCTTCGAAAATCATGTGATATTGCCAATTCATCATGATTAGACCATAATAATATTTATTAAAATATTAACGTTAACATAATTAATTTAGTGATCTTTTTTCTTCAATTCTTTAAAGTGAAAATAGTGAAAAGCGATCGTGAAACCCAATAAGCACACTATTCTAAAAATATATGTTGATTATCGTAACCAAATTTCCATTAAGAATAAACGAAAAAAGAATGAAAATCGGAATAATAAAACTAATCAAAAAAAATGTAATTGAACAAGAAAATCTAAGATATTGTTGGGTTCCGAAGATTGCGACTCTGTCGCTCCACAATTCAATATCTCGCGTAACGTATGATAAGTAACCTTTTCGAAAGAGGGTGTTAGATTTGGCTTGTGGGCGGTTAAGGCTTTCGGTTACTT